CCAATAGTTTTAGCCAAACAGACCAACAGTTTCTGATAGACTTTTAAGCAATTTGGTTCATTGCTAGTTTTAAGTTGAGTTCGATTCAATTCATAGAAAATCTCTAGACCTGCTTCGGTTATTTTTGCGGTTATTTTTGTCTAATTTGATGAGAATTAAGGAGGTTTCTCTTGGATTTTCTATTATTTATTCTAATAAAATTTATAGTCATAGGAATAGTTTTTTTTTTTATTATATATATATAAACAACCAGTATTCAGACCCTATTACTAGGAATCGCCAAGAAAACATTTGTAAGTTGACACGGCCAAAATTATAATTATTTTGCTTATATTTCAATAATGGAAGTACAAGTACTGATCATTATATATTTTATCATTACTTTCAGGTGGCTGTTGTATCTAGAGTTGAAATTGAATCTCAAGCTGAAGAGGGGTCCAGTGAACCATGCCCAGTTGATGCTACTCAGATATATCTACAACAAGTTGGTGGAATCAAGAAATAGCAAGTGTATAGTCTCAGTTCGTAGGCATCACTTTTCTTTGGTCATTCCAGCACCTCTAGCTCTTCTGCTACATCTCGCCTTCAAGAACAAGCTGGTGAAAATATTGATGCTCGAGGTGAAAATTATGATGCTCGAATTAAGAGATATTAGAGTAATCGAAGAAAGAGTTGGAGATGCTGAATCAAAAGGAGGTTCTAACAGCAACAACAAATTATGCAAAGAGAAAGTTGCAGCACAGCAGTTACAGAGCAAGAAGTTGCAGAGGCCTTGTTTGCCATCATTTGACAAGAAAAGTTGCAGCAGCAGTTACAACAAGAAGTTGCAGAGCTTGTTTGCAATCATTTGACACGTATGGCTCCTCCAGTTCATACTTCAGAGCATCCTGGATCGCACTCTTCTTCAGATACTCACGCTGGTATTTAGGGTGATGATATCATCTAAGTTGACTTTACTCGCTTTGTATTAACATATTTAATAGTACGTTTAAGACATATTGTTATTTCTATTTGAGACAATTTCTGTTGTCAATATTATGTTAACTTTCTTTATTTAATTTTAAATTAATTTTATTAGAAATATGACAAGATTAGAATATTTATAAATGTGGAAATATGGTAATGTTTGGAGCCAGATAGATAAACAGGTAAATAGCAACAGATTTAGAAACGAATTAGAGACGGATTTAATTATAAGCTTAGAAACGGATCTTATGATGTCTTTTCCAAGAGCTTTCAAACGAACCTTGCTGGTTTGTCTTTGATGTATAGATTTAGATGCCAATAAGCGACCAAATATGAGACAAATGACTTTCTCTTCGATTAAATGAACCTTACTGATGTTGATATACTTGGGGTTTGTGTTCTTTTCACAAAATAAATGAATTTATTTTGTTGCTGGGTGATGTTTAAACTCGATTTTCATTATGGTGATAGTTGTTGAATTCTGTTAGTGAGTCTCCCATAGTTCTCTTGTGTCTGTGATTTCATGATTGCTTTGTTCTTTTCGATTTCTGAATTAAAGAAAAATAAAATCATATTCATAATTCATTGTCATTTCCTGATTAAGAAAAATTAAAATCATATTCATAATTCATTGTTCTTGAAACCGAAAAGTACAAGAAATTTATATCTCGTTACATTGTTATTAAGGTGGATAAAATTATGATTTTGGGTCAAATTGTTTAGTTTTGAGTCTCTTTAAAGATGATTGCTCACTTATGATGGCCTATTTAGCTAATGGTTATTAATTGTTCTGGTGTCATTTTTTCGTAAACTGGGCATGTATACATAGATACGAGATATCAATAATGGAATGTATTCATGTATACATAATAATGAGATACAATAATGGAATTATTTAATTTTTACGTAAATGATGGATTTAAATTTCATTGATATAGTGAATTGGAAGTTAAATTTCTACATGTATTGATAGGAGAGTATTCAGCTGTCTTACTGAGGACATGGGAAAGCTAATTGTGGAGTTGCCATATGCCTTGCTCAATAATTCTTCATCGTGTGCCATTGATTGAGGCCTTAGCTCATACTGGTGGTAAGAATTTTGGTGAGCCAATAATTTTCATTCTATAGTCTCTTGATAGTTGATACTGCAGAGTGGGAGTCACAGTCTTATCATTTTTTTTTATATTTTTTATATTTCGAAGAATTTTTAGAATTCTTTAATTTTCTTATTAATATGAAACATCTTTTTTCTTTTTCTTTTTCTTTTTATCATCTCTAAGATTTTTTTTAAATGGACCAGTAGATGTTGGTAATTGACTTTATACACATTTTTTTCAATTTTATTTTATTTTTTCTAAATTTTTTATAAATATAATTAATTACATAAATTTAATCATTTCAATCAGAATTTAGCGGAAAAATGTATTGAGATTTATTAAAAATTTCAGATTATTTCTAATTTAATTTCATTCAAATGAGTCACTAGAGTTCATTCCAATTGGTTTAAAATTTTCTAGCAAATCACTGACCTAAACGTTTGATGTGGACAGGTAGCTCATGTATTTAATTTCACTCATCAAACATTTACTCCCTCCGCACCATTTCGTTTGCATGGTTTCACAAAACACTTATATTAAGAATTTAATTAATAAAAATTATTTTATAATTTTTTACCCTTAACTCATTAAAATATTATTAACTCATTAAAATATTAATAAAATTCTTTCATTTGATAAATAATTATAAAAGTTATTATGAAAAAAATAATTATTTACATGTTTAAATTTAAAAACCTTACAAACATTATGAAACATCTAAAAAAGAATAACAAAGTAATAAAATAAACGGAGGGAATATATTTATTTCCAGTTTGTATGTTGGCCAAACTTTTGGCTGTTAATTATTTCTAGTAGTCTGTACTTATTCTTTAGTTCCTGAAAGGAGATGCTTAATGCTTAATGTTAATTATTTTTTGCTTATACGGATCTTATGTTAATTATTTTTCTCTTTTTTTTTAATATACTACTTTATCCCTATATTTTTTACCATTGTGCACTTCCTTCCATCAAAAATTTAGCTTTTTCCGTTAAGTTTGCATTTTCTACCAAATTTAAATAAATTAAAAAATAAATTAAAAGAACATGTAACTAGACACCTTCTCCGGTTAAAAGAAAATTTTGATTTATATAAAAAAAAAAGTTTTAAAACTATATTAAATAAATCAAAAAGAATTTGCATTTAGGTTTAAATTTTACATTTATCTCTTATATTTCTTTTGTTTTACATGTTTCCTTTTTAAATCAAGATTGACAGTTTAATACTTACCAAAATGTAATAGCAGTGATATGATTCCTCTTAAGGGTCTTTCCAACTCAATCAGAAGACCACAAAAGAATGTTTAAAAAGAGATTTTTGGAATTTGGATTTTTATAATTTTCTGCCCATCAAGTGTTTGATTAAAATCCACCCTTAGAAAAGCAGAGAGAATTATGAGTGCTAAGAGGGTATTTGAATTATAAAATCATAAAAAAAAAAAAAAAGAAGTGAGCAGGGAGATGAAATAGCATAATTAGCATTGACTTTGTAGTAAAATAAGTTTATTATTTTCCCTTTAATACGAGATAAAATTAGCATTGACTTTGTAGTAAAATTAAATGGAGAATTTTTTTTGCCCCCTGCTGTGTAGCTCACAATATTATTTCGGTCCATTGAGCCTCCTATGTATCCAAAAAAAGATGGAGAGTTTTTAATTTAAGAAGGCCAATTTAGGTATTCTACTATGTATTTTTATAGGGTAGTTGCCTACTTGTGATCATACGTACTTATGTTAGAAAATCAAATTGGGATTGCGGTGATATCCATTTTCGATTTTCTAGCGTAGACATGCTGATTGATGATTTTTTTGAGGATGAAATATTGGCCCAATTAAAGTTTGGGGAATGAAAGGGAGTTTTTATATAAAAGTGGTCGACCACTAAGGAAGAGAAATATTGGAATTGAATAAAAATATCATACTAAATTTATAGATTCGACAAAAAATATTTATTTAAGCTTTTTGATATCCTCCACTGATGATTTAGATGGTAATTATCATACTCGATCGGGATAGAAGACGCACTATAGGTGGAAGCTCAGAGAATTATCACGTATCGAGTTGGTTTACAGACTGCAATTCTGATGTTATAGCATTAATGATGTAGACCATAAGCAGATACCAAACAGTAATGACTCATAACGTTATTTTGAATTTAAGAGATGTAGGCTGATGGAAGAGCTGTGAGTATAGGCCTAATTAAAAATTTATGCATAATCCAATGTCGCTGCTGTATGAAGTTTATATATATATATATATATAGTAATATATATATTACTAATATAATAGTATATATATATATAATATATATATATATAATACACACTTGTCATTATTAAAGGATTTCGGGTATCAATGTACCCAAACATTCATCCGGATTTATTTATTATCATCATTGTTAAGATATATTAATTTTATTTAATATTAATACTTATTATATATTATCAATTGTTATTTGTTATTGCTTAATTTTATTTAAATTTTATTTAATATTAATATTATTATATATTATCAATGTTATTTGTTATTAATTATTATATTAAATTTATTTTTAAAAAAATTAAAATAATAATGAACATAATTCTTGGTAAATAATAAAAATTGTAAAAAAATTATTAAATTAATAATGATTACTTATAAACATGCACCACACATTTTTAAATACTAGTCATATTTAAAATATAAGTTTTATTTTTGCAAAATCAATTTACCTCTCTAATATGTTTAAAAGAAAATAAAGAAACATAGTTTAAATTTGTTATTCTAAAAAAAATGCAATTTAAATTTATAATTTACCTTACATTTCATTATACCCATTCATTTATTTCATTAAGGCGTACACTAATGAATTATGAAACCGATAGACATGTAAGAAACTCAACTTAAATAAGCTAAGGAATATTGTTCAAACAAGAAGGAATAACAATTGGTGGATATCAATTTACATTAGTAAAACCCAAGCTTGTCGGCCAATTATTGGAGCTTGTCGCCAATATGGATTTATATATAAAACTGCAATTATTCCCAACAAAACTATGATGTAAGATACCACAAAGCTCACATAGAAAATATCCATGTCGATGAAGCCACTATTGTCAACAATTGAATTTATGGGTATTCGTGATGAAGGTATTACTGCATTGCAAGCTTTTGGCGGTGGCAATCCACAGAGGAAAGGATTTCCCTCATAGCTGCCTTCATCAAATGTTCCAAATTGTGCAACTCTTATAGGTGTCTTACCAGATAAGTTATTGTGTGCTACACTGAAAACTTCTAAAGAATATAATCGAGTAATTTGAGAAGGAATTTCCCCCTCCAAATTGTTGTAAGAAAGATCTAAGCTCTCGATTTGCCTCAAATTTGAAAATGTTTGTGGAATTGATCCAGTCAAACTATTGTGTGATAGATTTAACATTTGAATTGTATCAAGATCTCCAATTTCAAATGGAATCTCTCTAGAAAAATTATTACAAGAAAGATCAATTCCCGAGAAATATTGGAGTGTTCTTGGTTGATAAGAATAATGCATTCTTGTTTGTAAACTCTAAAGGTTGTAAGTCAATTGGAAATTCATGTCGTTTAGACCAATCACTAGTAAGCCTCAGACAAGGGAGAATATGACCAGAAAGATTATTATGAGAGAGATCAATCAAGCTTAAGTTATACAAGTTGCATAATTGAGTTGGAATTCCACCCTCCAAATGATTACTACTTAACTGAATGTACCTCAACCTAGAATTGTTGGCAATCCTCATTGGAATTTTTCCTATTAAGTTATTGTGGCTAAGATCTAACATAAATAATGAAGAGTCACCATTAAATACATCACTCAAAGATCCTTGCAAAGTGTTCTTTAAAAGTTTGAGATGATATAATGAGATACAACCTACGGTCAATTTCTCAAGTATACTTCCTGACAATCTATTGTCAGATAAGTTCAAACTTTCCAAAAAGCTCATATTTCCAAATGAAGGGGGAATATTCCCATTCAAACCATTTCCTATTTCCAAATGAAGGGGGAATATTCCCATTCAAACCATTTCCCCTCATGTTTAAATCCATCAATCTTGACAAATGTATTCCAATTTTTTTTGGGATGGATCCATACAGACTATTGTCAGAAATATCCAAGAATGACAAATTCAGAGGAGAATGAATAGGTAACTGGAATGACCCTAAAAGAGAATTGTTGGCCAAATTAAGATCCATTAGTTTTGTGTTGTTGCCTAATAACCAGAATGGAAACTCTCCTCTTATTTTATTGTTTGATATATCAACATATCGCAGATTATACTGATGATAGAGGAACTTGGTACTGATGGATAGAGGAAGCTTGGGAATGTTCTCCACTACGCATATTCCATGGCCAGACAAACAGGAGGTCTCTAACTGAAAACTTTGGAGTGGAAATTTGAGCCTTCTGTTATGGCCGATATTATTGTTCTGTGACAATTAAAAAATTGAGATTTGAATTAGTGAAAAGATGAGAGAAGTTGCAGATTGGGATTGGAAGAGATTATCAAAGGAGACTTAGATATTCCATAGAATAGTAATCTCCTAAGGAGGAGATAAGCAATGTCTCCAATAAAGTTATTAGGTAAGAGAGAGAAGAATTTTGAGGATGTTCCAGAATTTGCTAACAGCATGGCAACACTACCATTGAGATAATTGCCACTTAGTATCTAGCCTTGCAGAAAACTTCAATTGCAAAGATCGCTGAATAGGCTGAATATTTGAAATTTTGCAACAAAAAAGAAAAAAAAAACCTTTGGTTAGTTACAATTCTAATTTATTGAAAGAGATGATACAAGGGAGAGCCAGAGATTGTTGAACATACCTTGATCAGTAGGTATGGGTCCAGTAATTCCACAACCACGTAATAATAAAGTTTTAAGATGCCTCATCATTCCAATGTCTTGTAGACCAAAGCTATTGTTGATAGCAGAATACCTCAAGTCCAAATACTCCAAATTTTTGAAATTAAGTAAACCTATAAAAATTCAAAAAGGAGTGTGTGAAAATATATTGGAATTTTTTGAATTTTTTTGATAATTTTAAATTTGAGAGATTCTTTTTACTGATATAAGCTCTTTTTTTTTTTTTTTAATCTGACATTTTAAGAGAGACATCTTTTGTTTTCTTTTTCCTTGAAGTGTAGTTAATTTAATTACCTCTAGTAGGTACGGATCCATTCAGCCAGCTTAAAGACAAAAGCTCAACAGAAGGCATCATTGCTCCAAGGCTTTGAAGAAAGTTTTCATCCACAATAATAGAATAATCCAGGTGCAACTCTTCCAAATGTCAAAGTTAGGTTGTGGTGTACTCACACACGTGATGAAAAGAAAAAAAAAAAAGGTGAAAGTTGGCAAGCAACTTTGACAAAGATGGAGAGCCGTGAATGAGTTATACAAGGCTCTCTCATCTTCCTCTCTCTGTTCAATACACCAACAAGACAGAGAGAGTGACACCAACAAGACAAGAGAGGGTGAGAGGCAATTGTTGAGGAGAACAATTGTGAGACTGAGAAAATTAGAGATGAGTGATTATTTCAAGGAAGAAAATTAAGTTTAATTTTTTCGCGGTTTCTTGAATTAGAGAGTTTTGTGATGATTGATGAATACCAACTATCTATTTATTTTTTCTCTTATAAAAGATCTTTCTGGCAGTCCAGGAGTAGGCAAATTGGCCGAACTCCGTTATATCAATCGGTTGTATTTATTTTTTTGTTCCCTCATAAATCTGACTTATAGGGGAATTTTTGCGTAAATTTTTTTATTAGGGATTTTGCGTAATTTTTTTCCAACAAGTGGTATCAAAGCTGATTCCTAACAAGTGGTATCAGAGCTGATTCCTAACAAGTGGTATCAGAGCTTGTTACCTCTCTTGTATTACCTCTCTCGTATCCTCGCCTATAAATAGAGGCAAATGCACCTCAACACAACACACAGCAGAAAGACGAAGGAAAAATGTAGAGAGAGTTAGTTATCTAGTTTTAGGAAGGTTTTCCTAAAACTAGAGGGAGAAAAATAGTGAGAAAATTATTTTAGGGTGTTTTTGGGAAACACTTTGAGTGCCACTATTTTTCCTACTACATTTTCTGTATTTACTCTCTTTGCTGTTACCCTTACGGTATTTTTAACTAGTGGGAAGAGAATTCGATTCTGCAGTTTATCCCCGTGGACGTAGCCCTAAACAGATTTGGAAGGGTTACTCTGAGTCTGCTACTATTTTTGTATTACTGCTCTTTGGCTGTACCTGCCACTTCACCACTCGCGCCTACTATTCACTATATTATAGTGGAAGAGCAATGATTCGGAGTCTAGACTGTCCCGGTGGCACGTAGCCCTAAACCTGTTTGATGGGTGACACCACTTCGTAAATTTTATGGTGTGTCACAATGTTTTTGATTATTCCCACCTGCGTGTTAATTTTCTCTTAATTGGTTGAAAGGGCCCAACGGAAGTCAAGTGGATCAGATGCTCGATGGCCAAAACAAACTGCGGTATCAGAGCTGATTACCTAACACCAATATTAGTAGACGAATTATAGGACCCTATTAGATTTCAAATTGAAATCACCAAATTTAAATTTCTCCTCAAGAGAATTTATTAATAAGCATTTTGAAGAATGAAATAAACTACTATTCACTTAGAAAGTTGTTAATTAAGACCGACGATCAAAGACTGTTAGAATATTTAGCAGTCAAATAAGAAGGACTAAACAAATAATATCGATTGTATACCCATGTGTAAGGAGTGACAGCCTTTGCAGTTTTCATTGCCACTCATATATCCAATTCTATCAAAATTATTTAATTCTGCACCTTCTCAACCACTACGCAGTGTAGCATAAATATTTTTAATACAGTTTCGAGTACGAAAACAAAAGTTGAATAAGTCCTTCAAATTCAATACAATTAAGCCTATGATTCTGCGATGCCTACTTGTTGACATAGTTTTGAAAGGCAAAATGGAAAAAAAAAAACAAAAAAAAAAAAAGTGAAGTTGATCACACCCTGGTTAATAGTTTGAGGCAAAATGGAAAAAAAAAAAAAAAAGTGAAGTTATCACCTGGCATATTAATTATTCCTTCCAATCTATTGCAAAATAGAATTAAGTATTTCAAAGATGAAAGACCGCCCAGCGATGATAAGATACTATTGTTAAATCGATTATATCCCAAATCAAGATACTTCAATTGTTGGAATGGAAGAAACAAAGAGGCATTTAAGTAAAAATCATTCTGTGAAGAAAAATTCCTCTTGAATGAAAGGTCGAGTTTTGTAACTCGACCAGTAATTTCATCGCACTCAATGCCTTCCCAATTACAACAGGCAACACTATCTCTCCTCCAAGAATAATCAAACAAAGAAGAATTGAAGGAAGACGTTATTTGCAAGAGTGCAACTCTTTCTTCCTCTAAACAGCCATCACAACTCTCTTTTAACAATAATAAAATCACTAATATCCAACAATACCTCTTAATTATATCCATTTTTAATACTTATCTTCAACTCGCTCTAGCTTGTTATATACAGAGAGAAGTAGCAAAATGGTCCATGACGTGAAAAAATGTGTTGCAAAGTAAATGCATGTTGGAGAATCCTTCAGTGAAGTTTCCTCCATCCATCCAATTACATTTTTATATTTTAATTAAAAAAATTACAAAAAGTTAAATTAACCATTCTATAAAAACTCTTTTTTGACTCCTAAAATTTAACCATTCTAAATTTTTTTTATATACTTTATAAATTAAAAAAAAATTAAAATTTGAGAAATCAATGAGAGGCCTCCATTTTGAAATTCTATTCTCGTTAGTTCTTGATTTTTTTTTTTTTAGAAAAAAAAGAGGCCTCCATTTTGAAATTCTATTCTCGTTAGTTCTTGATTTTTTTTTTTTTAGAAAAAAAATATTTCCTCTCAAAATTCGAGCTCAGCCAACCCATTACAACCATAAAATTACATAATTTAACATTCGTTATAAAGATAATCGTTTGCAGAAAAGGTCTTCCAAAATGTGTCACGTTAACCCCTTACTATAACTTCTGGTGTATTGTTTTTTGTAGAAGAGAATTAAAAATAAAGTTAACTTAAATAATAACCAACGAGTGTATGGATGAATGGTTCAACACTCTTCTCTTTAAGTGAGATACCAATAAAAAAATCCATTCAAATAATAAAAGAGATTAAACTTCATTTCTTTTGGTTAATTAAAAACTAAAAAAGAATTGAAGTTCAAGTATTTTTTTTAAGGTAACATATATTTAGTTGATGGATTTGAAATTGTGCTTTGATGGAAAAAAAAAAAAAAAGAACAGAATTTTAATAGAGTTGTGACTGTGAGTTAAAAAATTTATATACTTTTTTAATCAAAAGAAATCACAAGGGCTTAATTAATTTGAATCTTCTATTCTAGTGCTTGTTGAAATTTCAAATATTTATTTAGAAGTGCTTCAGAGCAATATATAATTTGTTGAAAAATTAATTTTTTTTTACATTTTTACCCTCTAAACTTACACCACAAAATACAATGCGCGATTTTTTATCTAAAAATAAATTATTTTATATAAATCAAATATAATTAAAAATAATTAAATATTTGATCTAGATCGTATATAATTAAAAAAATAACCAAACAAATAATAATAAATATTTTATAATCAAATATTTTAATTTTTATATATCAAATATTTTGTTTCATTATTTTCTAAATCAAACATAAAATAATGTAACTTTATATAATCATTGTTATATTTTTAAATATTTTTTCTTTACTAATTTTTAAATTTTAAAAAATATAAAATATTATTTTTTTCAAAAAAATGATCTTTTTATTTCTTTTTGTACAAATTTAAGGTGTAAATTGTACAAAAAGTTAATTTTTGAGTAAATTAGCGAATTTTATATTGCTACCAAGTTCAATGGGTAAATTAAATTTTATTTCCATTTCAATTAATCAAGGTGAAAGTATAAACAAATTCAATAGTATTTACTTTCAATTTTTTTATTGAAAATTACCAAATTAATTCTAC